CCATGTAACGTGAATGATATACACACTCAGGGAGAATTTGCGATACCCAGTTTTGGATATAACAGGTTTAATCAGACCAGAGCCTTTCGTGGTGTGAACACGTCCGTTTTATATTTTATCCTGCTGTATAAACAAAATGTTTTGCTTTATTCTCAAACCAGTCACCTTATTTAATTCAACCAAATCAAAATTCAGATTCATTATGTAATACATTTTCTGTCAAACTTCTCACTATTGGTACGACTAGCGTAAGTGATTATCGAGTACGTTTGTGTGGAAGACTTTATTCAATGAATTATGTAGTTCTTAGATCAGTTTGGCGTAGTTTAATGGACATTATAGTTACTTTTCTTAACTAGTAACATTCTCACACAGATGGCACATACATCAAGCGAAAGCAAATAGGAGTCCGGTCAGCTTTAGCTGACTGTTAAATCCACCCCTGATAGAGACGCTAGGTGTGATTCTTGCATCAACTATTTTCGAGCTTCATGGTGTCATATAAGTTTTATTTTCTACAAGTGTTTAATTTGATTTTTTTTTCTTGCTAGTAAATTAGGCACATAGGGCTCTGTTTTTTTTTACAACAATAGAATAAATCAAGCTCAGTACTATTTAAAAGTGTTATATAAGCTTTAATTTTAGAAGTATGAACGTGATTTATAATATATACGTATACACCAGAGTATGTGCATTAGTGATACTATGTACTACATATCTAAAGTGGGAACATTACGTGTTCTTTGTGAAAATATTGTTTGTGAAAAACATCTGATATCACCCAGCGTTAACCGTGAAATGTAAAACACAAATATTAACACACATAAAACGCGCTGACACTACCATAAAATTGTAGTTTTGGTGTTATTCGTAGAAACTAACAAATATTTATATACTTGTTCCTACTTAAAATTTGCCCAGTAATGGTTGTGAATATTTTCACTGATAAGAAGCGTTAACCGTGAAATGTAAAACACAAATATTAACACACATAAAACGCGCTGACACTACCATAAAATTGTAGTTTTGGTGTTATTCGTAGAAACTAACAAATATTTATATACTTGTTCCTACTTAAAATTTGCCCAGTAATGATTTTGAATATTTTCACTGAGGAGAAGCGAGGAGAAAATTAAATTTAAACCATTATTTGACAGAAGTCTTTGTGTCCACTTATAAATGGTGTACCGCTGGACCGATTTTCACTAATCCTGGCATTTACTCTTAGGGCTCCCAAGAAGTGACAAAAGGAGGTCAGCGTTCGTATTTGACCCCTCTGTCTTACCCCTCGGAACCCCTTTGTCAACTGGTATTAGTATAAATACATAAATGTCAGCTACTGAATACAATTTTTATATCGTTTCTCCTGAAGATGCAACTACTCTTTATAGATATTTAGGAAAAAATAAAGTCATCATTGGTTTCTTTCAAAAGTGTACGTACACCTTATTAAAGTTAACTTCCAGAAATATATTTGTTTAAAAGTAATGTGCACGTGTATAAATGTACTAAAAGTCATGCTATGTCAATTCACACAGCGTCTTATTATGTACCATACCTCACGCTCTCACATTTTTCCGAATTGTGTTGACATTTTTTATTGAATTAAGTTCATAGCAAATGTGCACGATTTCAGCATCCTAAGCCTCTTTATAAGGTTATGGTCGTTTAAGGTAGAGGAAGAAATAAAAACATGCTATTTTTATACTAACTAGCAACAATATAAGTCTTTTAAAGAAATATTTGCTTAGAAATTTCAAAATTCACTAAATTGAACGAATTTCAACGCTAATTTAAAAAGAGAAACATTATTTACCCTATTCCTGCATTCATAACACAGTCAGGCAAAAACACAGAAAAAAGGATTTTCGCAAAATTAATTTCGAAATTTAATATTAATTTGGAGCTTATTTATCATTGGCATATGAGAAGCTATAATTTTTACATTATTTGTGAATAAATAATGTGGAGTTTATTTATCATAAGGAATTATAATATTTGTGTTATTAGTGAATACGTAATATGGATTTTATTTAACAGTGATATTAAATGAATTGTAGTTATAATGGAAATATGGGGTATTCTTGCAAATATAACGGGCTAATTACCAAATCATCAGATACATGTTTCCTTTAAAATCAAAAACTGTTTACTTACAGAAAGCAAAATCTTCAAGTTTTGAGTGCCTCGTATTGCTTTGTGTTTGAAATGTTGTTAGTTCAGTGGATTATATATTATGACGTCAAGAAATTAATATCACATTTTGGCGTACTTTCATTAACCATCTCCCAAAAAACTTACATCACGTATAATAGTTAAACGAACCGCCTGAACTTCACTTTAGTGTAGCCTATATAATATGTAAAGTTTAATATACTGTAATCCCTTACAGTGATGGCACACGATGAGACACACATTCGGCATGTAATGCTGTTTGAATACAAGAAGGGAAACAACGCCCCTGTGATGGCAGGGGAGGACATGTTGGAGTTGATATTGATGCTCTGAAGACGTTTGCTGAGTCTAACTCAAGGCAACACACTCGTGAAATGGCCATAAAAGTGCATATCTCTCATGAAACAATACGTAAACATCTAAGGAATATGGGAAAACTACATAAAGAAGGTGTTTGGGAGCCTCACGAGCTTTCCGATGATAATAGTTTCCAACTTGTAAACGTTGCTTCGTCTCTTTTGGCGCGTATTGCGCGTGAACCATTTTTGGACAGAATTGTCACCGGTGATAAAAAATGGATTCTCTAGGCGAATATTAAACGCCAAAAACAATGGCTTAGTCCTATATAAAAACCACTTCCGACTCCAAAACCTGGACTCCATCCACAGAAAGTGATGCTTTGCATTTGGTGGGACATCAACGGAGTAATTTATTTCGAACGCCTCAATCCACAGCGAACTGTCAATGCAGAGATCTATAGTCAGCAAGTGGAACGTTGAAATCAAGCCCTTCATCAGAAACGCCCCTCACTCGTCAATCGGAAAGGTGTTCTTCTTCTCCACGACAATGCACGTCCACATGTGGCACGTTTGATGCAATACAAGATTATGGAGTTGGCTTG